TTTTTTTTTAGCCTCTCTTTACTAAATGTCATGTGTGGCAATATCATGTTTGTGTTTTAAACTCTTCAATGTGTGTCAATTTGTTGTATTACACTGAATATTCTTCTGCTTGCTTACAATAACCACACTCTGAGAATGCCATTAAATACCTAAATTAAGTCAATACAGATATCGCTATTTGTTTTAGAAGTTTTTTGAATTTATATACACTAACATTCAAAAGTTTGATGTCAATAAGATTTTTTTAAGATTACTTTTATTCAGCAGGGATTAAATTGATCAAAAGCAACAGTAAAAACATGCATAATGTTACAGAATATTTATATTTCAAATAAATGCTGAGCTTTCTATTCAGAAAAAGAATCCTGAAAAAAAAAGTTTTTTTTGGTGGTTCAATGTGACATTTAAGACTGAAGTAATAACTGCTGAAAATTTAGATTTGACATCACAGTTTTAAAATATAAACATCACGTTTTAAAATATATTATAGGAAACCGTTATTTTAAATTGTAAAATATATTCCACAATATTACTGTTATAACTGTATTTTTGATTAAATAAATGTAGCCTTGGTGAGAGTTCATGAGACTTTCAAAAATAAAAAAATCTTACCGACCCCAAAATTTTGAATAGTAGTGTATAATGTCTCCTGTCCTTTGTTTTAACAAAAGTTTATTTCCTATATATTGCACTTTTGGATATTTTTCACTCGCTTATTTTCTTACCTGGCCTCTCGTGGAAACACTTAAATTATTATTAATTAAATAATAAGCCCTTAAAAACCATAGTTCCCTCAGGATTGTTATTGCCATCTGGAATGTTTGGGAATACTGTACTCCTGTCAATGGGAATAATGGGATGTACCTGGAATCTGGGCCTTGTTCCATTAATGCTGCTAAATTAATTGGCCGTTATTTTGCTGTAGATACCTTAGAGAGAACCAAACTCAGCCATTTCAGACTCTAGTGGATGGCAGGTATGAAATAGTTCCAAATGACGAATCCAAACATATTTCCCTTGATTCCTGTTTGTTTATCAAGACTGACACTGCTTTGGAGTATAGAATCTTTTCCTCACTCTTGAATGCTGTGATTTCCAGAATGTGGTTTTCTTTTTGTCAGTAATTAGTACTTAGGAATATTAGGGTGATGTTATGACTTCATGTTCGCTTATGTCTCTGTTCTTTGAGCAGGCGCAGTGTGCCATTGATCCGTCCCCACTCTTGGCACCTGGCGAAGCTGTCAGAGGCACTCTGCACTACGGGCACTGGTGACCCCTCAGATGGCCCCCCGGCTATGCAGCTCCACTTCACACCTCTCAGTGTACCGTGGCACTCCGGAGGTGACAATAGGTTGGTATAATAGTCATCATACAGATGATGTATTTAAGTAAACATACCTTTCTCTGTATAATGATTTGTTTCTTTTTAGCATTTCAGTGTTGCAATGTTCAGTGTAACGCGCATTATACTAATAGCTTTAACAGATCTTTGTGTGTCGACAGGAGAGAGAGATAGATCTCATTGTTGAATTAGGGAATTTTGCTTCCAGCAAATTTCACAAGGAAAACAATCAGAGAGGAAGCTGGTGATCTCACATCTTATGTCAACATGTGGCTCACCGGATGCCACCACAATTTTCAGACGTATGACTCAGACATTCTTAACAGATCACCAGCAAAGTGACCAAAAACACACAAGAAAACCTGCAGTACAAAACATAGCACTGACCTGAGGGACTAATCTTTAACTTTCAACTTCAACATTAATGTTTGTTTTGGGGGGACTTGTTCTTTAGTGTCTTTCCGCTGAAACTGTGAAACCTAATCATAACACCTGTAACACAAAATGAAAAGGCCTACATAATTATCAAATTCAAATAAAATATTTATAAAACTAATAATCTGAGATAGACACAAATATTTAGCACATACAGATTTGTTTGTTTATTTATGCTGAGTGTCTTTTTATTTTAGTTAATTGAAAATGAGGCTTAAAATAGGTCTACACTGTTGTGAGTTATTTTTAGTTATTTTTTATTTTTATTATTGAATGTAGTTCTTTTTAGTTTTTTTTTTATTGAATAGAATAATCTAATTGTGATTTCAAAATACTTCCTTAAAGTCAATGCCATCTTGCATTATAAGTGTGGCAAGAGACACTTTGTAGACTTTTTAGGAAGCTTTTGCTACAGGAATTTTACAAGCCAAATGCAAATTTAAAAATAGTACTTCATAATTTGATATTGAAATTCTAAGTTGGCATTAAATAGTGTAAATTTTTTTTGGTACTTTTTGTAGGCAATCTTTGAAATCCTTATGGTGATTGTCACATCATCTAACTTGGTTCACTTCTGTTTTGTTGTGCAGTGAGCTGTCAATGCAGTGGGGCCATATCTCCAGGCACTACAGCACAGACCGCAGTAGCTCAATAGGAAGTATGGAGAGTCTGGAGAATCCTCCCAACCAGGGTTACTATGACAGTCAGCTCTCTCCCATTGATCCTGTCATCTTCAACAACAAACGCGACTCCGCTTACAGCTCATTCTCAGCCAGCTCAAACACATCCGATTACACTGTCCCTGTCAAGCCTGAGGATACCAACTCTATGGACAGTCTGCTCCAGGGTTTTGGTTCTTCCTGCAGGTATCCAGACAGAGGCAAACATTGTGCCTCCAGTGGCCATGGAAACCAGCGGGAAGAGCGTGAACACTCCAAGATACTGTCTGACAGAACTGATTCTAAAGTCCGACCGTCATCCTACAGCTGCGAGGAGGAAAACTGTGCGCCACCGCAGCCACCCATGAGGAAGGACAGTTTTAGGGCTACTAGAGGCCAACCAACAGATAAACGCTGTGTGTCTGCTCCTGTAGGCATCCCAAGTGTAACCAGCTGCATGGTTGAAGATCAATCCCAAATCCAGGAAGTTTTGACTGGCAATGTTTATTTGAATGGAACACAAGACAATGAGCAAGAACATAAAAGATGCACCATTGAACCTTATTACACCTTCAACTCTAAGAGAGACTCTGATGGAGATAGCAAGGCAACTGACCATGAGAAAAAACACTTGGAGAACTATTCAGAAACTGTGGTGGTGTCTACACCTTCTCTTAGTCCCTTTTCACAAAGGAATAGGGATGAGAACTTTGATACCCAACTCCAACCAGAACGTAATATCCAGTCAGCAATGCATAGAAACAGTGCACCTGAGAAACTTCTAGCTTCTCAGCTGTGTATGATGGATTTTTCTGGTGACAAAAGGGATAATCGTGCATCTCCAACTTGTCAGTGGTCACAGTCACCTCTTTATCTGAGTGATACTAGTCCAAATACAGCCCAGGGCAAGTGGGGAGCAAGTAGATGTTCCACACCTGGTTCGGTGGCAACTTCCGAACTTGAGGATCCCAGGTTAGAAGAGGATCATCTTGATTCTAGACAGAATCTCTGGGGGCAGCCTATTAATGTCTCTGGAAATCCCATGGAGAATGGGTTCTCCACCGCTAACTCTCAGACCAGTGAGAAGAACTTTGGGTCTGTATGTGCTGGCATGTGTGTGGACACTCACCTGAATGAGAACGGAGGAGAAGTGAGGGTAGACGATGGCAGCATCACAAAGCAGTCGCAGAAACGGCAGTTCCGTAGCAGCAAATCGCGTCGTAGAAGTGAGCGTTTTGCAACAAACCTCAGAAATGAGATCCAAAGGAAGAAGGCCCAGCTGCAGAAGAGTAGAAACCCATGTGGTGAGGAGACTGTGGAAGAAGAGGTTGCAGATCTCAACATGGAGGCAGTAGCTCCTCCAGAGCTCCATCAACCCAGAGCCCAAACCTTGTCA